CAGCACAAAGGTCAGACCTACGAGGAGGTTTCTAGGAAGGTAGAGTTCGTGAAGTGGGCGCTTCTGCAGCCGACCCCCGCGACTGACCTTAGAGAGTTCTTGACCTGGTTTATTAAGTACCATGCTATTAAGGAAGGTCTAGACAACAGGCCCTACCGCGAGACCCGTGCATCGCTAGGTATCCCAGAGGGAACCTACAATCCGCGACCCCGCAGCAAGGGACCAAAGAAGGTACCACCGAATCCGCCCAAGGATCGGTGTGCCAACTGCACCGACTTTGGCTACGCCGGTAGCTCAGCAAACTTTGTGCGGAAGACTTGCCGCGATTGTGGCAATGTGTCGCAAGAACGCCGCGAGCACGTGTACACGGTAGACCCTGCCGTATGCTCTCACGAAGCAACGGACCACAGGGGAAGTTCGAGGACTACGTCCCGAACCTTTTTGCCGCATGTGCGGGACCTTTATAGATGAGGTACCCCAAGACTTTCATCGTGAACGCAAGGCTGTATCTGAGAAGCTGCTCGAAGCGACAGAGCAAGCGGTTCCCATTATACAAGCCCTTACCGCTGACGACGCGACTGCGGACCTCAACCAGGAGGCCGTGGAACAACTCATGGCAGTGTTCCAGGATCGTGTTACACAGGCGATGGCGCAAGAGGAATGCATACACCCCGCAGCTTTGCACGAGTGGTTGCGCGAAGCCGTTGCATCTGTAATGGAGCAAAGCCCGACGAGCCCTGCCTGGGGATTCGTCCCAACTGCATTGGGGTCCCGAGGGCGCAGCCCGGGCAAGCACAAAGGTAAGGGAAAAGGCAAGGCCAAGGCGAAAGGGAAGCCGCAGGCTCCCCGGCGTGGACTCACAGAAACTGGAACTCTTGATGTCCCCCGACCTCCCAGACTCATGCACTCCGCCACGCGGCCTCCGAGATCCCCACCAGACTATTCTCCACGGTGATCTCGCCGTGCAGGCTGAGCCTCTTGGTTACCTGCACGTTCCGAAGAAGTTTGATCTGGTCCAGCTGTGGGGCCATTCCGGTGCCAACAGCACGAATGCCAAACCACCGGGCCAGAGTTACTCTGGCCCCACTTTTGCAAACACTGGGTGCAGTGCCAATTCTCCTTGCCACCGTCTTCAGCAGATACCACGACGCAGACGTCGCCGGGAGGAACATGCAGGATTTGCATGCGTGCGCTCCGCGCCCGACTTTTCGAAGGCACATCCAGCTGGAGGACCAGCTCCGCCTTGGGCATGTCTATTGGCAGCTGATTTGCCTTCCAGAACTTGCTAAACACCCCTTCAAGCAATTGGAGTTGAAGGCCCCGAACTCCTTAACGGGAAGGTCACCCGGACAGCGGCTTTGCGATGGCAAGCAGGGTTCACGGATGGTTGTTTCGGATGCCCGACATCTAAATGCAGGAGGCAAAAAGCCCCAAACCGTGTTTTCTTGTGTTTTCGCATCCGACAGCCTGCCACGATCTGCCAAGCCTTAAACCCTGAACTGCCCTAATAGACCATACCGGCCATACCGACCTCGCTCAATTGGAAGCCCAGAGTTCAATCCTTCTGGTCGGTTCGGTGAAATTCAGACCCCATGACTCCTGAAATCCTTCAACCCTGAGCATCAGACCGCGACGACGGCTCAACTGCTCCTCTTTTGAGGAGGTAGGGACATGCCAACTTTCAGGGGCTGGGTGGGCCCGGCCTTCCCGTGCCGGTGCAATGGATGGATGAGACTCGGAGGGAAGAAGGCCTTCTCCCTACATCCCACTCGCCCTCACTCTCTCTCCTTCTCTGCTAGAAGGCACAATGGACAATGGTTTAATTTAAGGCTTGCGTTCAATGTGCAAGACAGAAATTTGCTGTAAGTAGAGCTGCTTTAGCAAGACCCTGGCTTCGCCTGGTTTTCCTTCTCAGCCACAACATCTCGTCATAAGGTGACTCGGGTCGGAGGGTCAGTAGCCTCTGAAAAGCTAGCGATCTTCGCACAGTGTTCTGCAGTTTTCGACACTCCGTTTTGTGAGTTGGCCATGTCTCTGCAACATTCTGCAACTGCATGCCCATTTCCCATTGGGCTGCCTGCTGTCACGGATGGCTGCTTCTCCAGAGTGCACAGGGAGCTCCACCTCGTCCGAGACGTGGCGTCCCGAGCTGCTCGGAGACTGATGTACTCCAGAAGCTCTTCATTGCATCTTCGCGGTGCAATCCCTCAAAACTTGTTTTACTGCAGGCCTTGTTTCTGGCTCAAGTGTCACAGTGACACACAGGACGGCTTTGTTTCTGCGCCATGTTTGCTCCAGAGTCGAGCGATGTGGCGCTTCCGATGATGTTTTTGATGTGGTTTTGCTGGGGTGTCTGGCCACCCTTAAGGAAAAAGGGAGGCTCTGACAATGAGCACTTCGGGTTAACAGCCGTCATCTCTCAGAACTTGCTGTGCCTATTCTTCTCCTTCACGCTGGGAATGGCAAACCCCGACGGTGTTCCGAACTTTGACAGCACGCAGTTTCCACAAATGGTCGCGCAAGATACCTCGGAAAGGCTTCCTGCAGTTCTTCTTGCAGTTTCGTCCGGGGTTGTGATCTGTTGTGCAGAGTTCGTCCTGGCCAAGGCTATTGATGTGTTGGGTGTGGCAATTGCAGTTCCCACCGGCTTCGGGATCTCTATGCTATGGGGAACAGCAGCCAGCTATGCCATCGAGCCCACGGCAGATGCCAGGCTCCTTTTCTCAGGCCTAGGGGCTTGCTTGCTCGGCCTCTTCTGCGATGCGGCCTCGAAGTTGGATACCCACAAAGGAGCCCCAGAACAGGGAAGAACAAGTGACGTGGAAGCCTGCGCTTCCAAAGTGCATCTGGCCTCCGGGTCTCAGATGGATCGCCGCAGGTTCTTGCTGCCCGTTGTGGGAGGGCTTATGTTTGGATGCAATCCTCCCATGCAGACGGCTGCCGCCACAATCGGACAATTGTCTCCATATGTCCAAATGGTTGCCTTCATGCTGGGAAAGCTCCTTACCATTTTCCCATTGGCTTGTGCCTACGTTTGGTTCTCAGGCGGATGTAGCAGCGCCGTGAAGCTGCCTTGTGCGGTGTGGAGCGGCTACCTCGAGGCCTGTCGCAAGCGCCCAAAGGCATTGCTGTTTGATGCACTCTGTGGGGCTTGTGTTGGAATAGGGCACTGCATGTTCTTTGTTGGCACGCCTGTGGTGTCAAAAGCCGTGGCTTCCATTTTCGGAACTTCGAGCTTGCTGCTCTCTGTTCTTATCGGAGTCGTTCTCTTCAAGGAGCTTGCAGGAAAGAGCCTCACTCAGAAAGTGCTTTGCGCTCTCAGCGTTTCGTTTCTGAGCACAGCACTGGCGCTCATGTCTGCGGCTTCCCTCCGAGAGTAGCAAGAATTCGACACCTGCTTCGTCATTTGGACAGTGGGACAGGACTATTTCCAAGCTTTCTCGATTGTTTCCAGGACGCAGTTCCTGTCTTTTCCTCGATAGATTCTTCTTGGATTTGCTAAGAGAGATCTACTCGTGCACCTTGCCTCCCCGGCTGTACACGTGCAGGCCGAGCAGCGGGAGAGCTTCAAGTTTTGCTTATCCCTTTTTTTGCATGCTACTCCAGACTCCATTCTGCATCCGGTTTACATTTATATAGTTTGTTTGCATGACCGGCTTCTGCTTGCAAGATCCTTGCAGAAGAGCATGGATTGGCAAGAGCCGAGTTTTGGAGGGTGCAGACCAGCTGAAGCTGACCAAAAAGTTGGGCTCAATGCATAGTGCTTGCAGGAATCCGTTCTACGACTTGTGCAACTGTGCTACGTGAGTTGCTGAAGGTGCAAAGCAATGTGTAAGACGCCGTTTTGCACCGCCATCTTGCGAGGAGCATCTTGGAGAGCGAGGGCTGACAGGCAAAGTGCCTGAGAAGCTTTTCGGACAGTTTGGAAGGTCCGTGCAGGAAAGAGGGCGCTGCAAAATGCGATCAAGCCACCGAACATCCTCAATCAGCTCTTGTGTCTTTCGATGTGCCTTCTCCCAAACGTGGGGAACAAGCAAGGATTCTGCCTCCATCGCAGTGCACGATTGAAACCTGTAGCATTTGCGTATCAGTGCAATCGCAATGGCCGCAGGGCTGCGATACGTGCATTTAGAGGTCAGCGCGGCTGCTAGCGGTCGTCACATGCCTGACTCCGGTGCCGCAGCTTCTGGACATGTGGTGCTTGGCATGCGTGGCTCAAGCGTGATGTTATATTGAAGTGACTAGTTTTTGCTGGCTTCGAGCACAAGGACCTAGCAGTGTTCGCATGCCAAGTGGTTGTGTGGATCCTGAAGCTTCTTTTCTTCCACTGATGCTGCACGTGTTTTGCCTAGAGCTTCTTGCATAGGAAGTAGAACGCAAGTCTAAGGAGATCGACATTCATGCTCATTGCGAGGATTCGAGTCCGGCCCTGCGCCGGGAAGCCTTTGGGCCTGAAGCCTGGTGATAGTAGCGATCTCAGCTGGCTCTTCGAGATGATGCGCAAAGGTCGTTGTTCTTGAGGGATTCTGTTAGTTTGGAGTGGGCTCTCTCTTGCCGCTGGACGTGCCCCCCTCGAGGCCTTTCGGGCTGCATGCCTCCACTCCCCGCCTCGAAGGGAAACACGGAGGCGATGGCGATGCTGCGGTCGTGATCCTTGTTGCTTAAGGGCTCAGTACCTGTACGCCGTGCCCGGAAAAGAAGCCAGGATGAAGTGAAGCGATCGGAGGAATTCTTGAACCAGCTGAGCTTGGGCATGGGGCTCGGTTCAGCTTCAAAGATGGAGCAGGAGGCGCTTTTTTTGCAGGAGTAAGATGCACGAGATGTAGGAGCTGCTCGCTTGCTACGGCTGCCCAGGAAGCACAGCCACCGGGACCCCGCTGACCCGCGATACTGCGCGGTTCGAGGTCGGCATTTTAAAGCACATTCACCGCAGAGACTCGGAGAGTCGAAAGTGTCGCGGAGGCCAGCCGCTCTAGATCGGGGTCTGCATCGCGACATCCGGAAGCAGAGGCTGGGGCGGAGCATGGCGGAGCTCAGTGCCGGCAAGGGTAAGCTGCAGCTCCTACTGCAGGTGCCTGGAGATGGATGTCATCTCTTAGAAGAAGAGGAGGTGGGACCAAAGCCAGGGTTTTCCTACTGGTAGGTGTTCTGTTGGCGTGTTGGGTTTTCCGCTGTTTCAGTGCTTTGCATCGTAGAGCTTGGGAAGCTGTACAAATCGTCTAGAAAAAGCCTGGGTAGCCCGTGGCCATTTCTGCAAAGCTGGGAACCTCCATGTCTCTGCTCCCCTGAAGCCCCGGCGAGCCATGGTGTGGTACAGCTATGGCAACATGCTCAATGCTTTGGCGGTTGTAATCTCGAGCCTTTCATACAACCGAGACACATTTGCAGACTCCGTGGCTATGCAGCAGAACCAAATGTACCAAGAGAAGAACTACCACATCAATTGGATCGCATCAGTTCGTGAAGAGATGCGCGATTTCTTGACCATTTTCATGGGGAAATTGCAGAACACAGGGGTGCTGAACACGCTTCTCTTCGGCATATCGACAGGTTTCCTTTGTGAGGGCGAGCTGGATAGAAATGCACCAGATTCTCTGGCATTTGCATATTACAGCTTGCTGATTATCAGCATGCTGTACTTTGGCTGCTCAATCCTTTTCTGCTTCATTGGGCTAGCAATCGCTTGTGCAGAAAGTCGCAGGTTCCTTCTGAAGTTCGTGCCAGATGTTCACGATGCTTACAACGTTGACTACATCACGAAGCTTCTCCAGTGGGAAGGCAAGGGCGAAGCATTGCGTGTCCCGTTTGTGATGGAGCCCCGTCGTCTTGCAGAGAAGAAAGAGAAGCAGAAGCAGGCAGGCGCCACCGAGGCGAACGCAGCAAAGGAGGACTTCTACGATCACTTTGAGAGCATGATGCACGAGTTCAATGAGCCAACAGAGGTGGAGTATCTGCGCAAGGGTGGGACGACCACCCGCTTCTGGGAAGGCAGCCCTACCAGTGCCGAGGGCGACGAAGAGATGGGAGAAGGAGAGCGACTTGAGAACAGCTTTTATGAGCTCATCGGAAGTTACAGCCTGCTTTGGGACTCTTGCTCCATGGCAAGCCACAACTCGATGTTGGTGGGCGTGTTTGCCTTATGGCAAAGCTTTTCGTACTATTTGTTTGGCCACGACATGAACCGATCATTGCAGGCTCGACTAGGCATGTATGTCACCACCACGATCGCTAGCCTTGCCCTCGGGGGTCAACTTGGCCGGCTGCTGACCGTGAAGACCGAGCTGGACAGGAAGGAGCACGGCGCAGGCGAGGAGTGTTTCGACCCAGGACGCAAACTGAAGCATTGGGTTCTTAAACTACTTATGATTCTGGCACCAGCTCTGGTGATGAGTGGTGCTCTTTGCGCAACTGAGGTTCTGCTGGTCCAAGGGTATTTGGCTCACGGAGCTCTGCATGCTTACTTGGCGGTGTTCCTTTTCCGAGCTTTGTGCAAGTTGCCCCAGCAAAGCGGCTTGCCGCCGGCGCACCCCGAGAAGATAAGGCGATTGCGAGGCAAGGGCTATGGAAGCAAGCAAGCTGATCTCGATCGTGGCGAGGCCGGGCTGGAGCCACGAGAGTCGCCAGAGCCGATGCTTCGCCAGCTCCTTTTTGAGAGCGAGAAGAAAGCGATGCAGACAGCCATGTTCATGAAGAGACTGTTGCTCAAGAGCCACCTCGTAGCTTGTCTGCCCTGGGCTTGGTTGGCGCTGGGAGCTTTCCAGGCTATGGCAGTCGAGGTTGGCAATGATTCAGAGGTCGACGTGACCGAGGTGAACGTGACTTGGGGCTCACATGCCTTCTTCAGTGCCCGTTCGATGACGTGCTCGCTAGGTGGCCAAGTCTGGCTTGCCAGCGACGACGGCGTGTTTGCGATTGCACGTGGGGCAGACGGCGGTGGTGTGGAAAGTATCGATTGTCCAGCTTTGCCTCTTGATGAGAACGTGAAGGATGTTTCCGCTTTGTGCTCGGAATCAAGCTGTTGGCCTGCAGTGCTTGGATCAAGCGGAAAGCTTTACAGCTGCAATCCCGACCCAGACGGAGCCATAAACCCCTTTACAGAGCTGCCAGGAATCTCTGGTTTTGCTTTGGCAGGTGAGGGTTTCTATGTTCGGAAGAACAACAGCATCCTTCACTTCCCAGCCCGAACGTCTGTGGCTCGTCCACTGCCGGGTCTCATTGGCTTTGACATCCTTCCCAATGCTGGAGGGGAGGACCTCTTCCTTTTCTCAGCAGACAGGGCAGCAAGCATACAGCTGAGGAGTGCAGCAAATGGTGAGCTGCGGAAGTGGGCGTTGCCTGCCCAGCTGCCTCCCTTGCGTGCGGCTTGTGCGATCGCCCCGACTGCAGTACTGGCTGCGGTGCAGGATCCACGTTCAGAGGACCACCCGCGGCTCCTTCTCTTTGACTTGAAGTAGCAATTCGAACTCGGCTTGACGTGTGTGTGTGTGTACGTACAGTCCGATTTGCACAGCGGTGTGTCAGCTTCCGCTTGTGAGCAGAGTGTGCATGCGTGGCAAGGCAAGTTCGTGAATGTTCAGCGGTGCTGCGGCGAGCCTGCAAACTGTAAACCAGAAGGGAGAATGCCACGGATGGACTCTTGCCAAGTCTCATTTTACCGGGGCCCGGCTGAAATCAGCCGCACATCACATCTAGCATGGAAGTATCTCTTCCACTTGCATTGGTGTTCTCCTGAATGCCGCTGGTTAGCAAAGTATTCTTCCAACGGTGAGCTCCAGTCGGCTCCTATCAGCTTTTGTGTAATCCCCAAAGTCACAAGGATCCAGCTGCACTTGTTGGCTTAGTGCCTGGGTCCTCTGGGATTTTGCTGAAGTTGCCGTACAGAAAGGAGATCCAATCCAAGTGCTGGGACCTGGCTGAAACTAGCCAAGGATGGCGGTGCATGAAAATGTGCAGGGCTAGGGCCTGGCGTGGTGTGAATGGGCCTTGAGTGCTTCGTGCAGGAGGTCGAGCCAGAGGTTGCAGATCCACAGAAATGCCGCGAGGACATTGGGATCAAGACTGCTTTGTGCCTGCTGTGCATCTCGCACGGATTGCGAACAGGACGTGCAGATCAAGCAACCGCCTGGCAGAGTTCTGAGAACATCGTCACATCGTCGGACTGAGATGATGCCATGCTTTCGTTTGCCGTCATTACGACGAAATTAGGATAGTGCGTCCTTGGGGGGGGGCTGTGCAGCCGTGCAGCTTGCATTTGTCTGGAACGAGGTCCATCTCCAAAACAGGAGTTTATGGAGTTCCGGCGGCGAACGTGACCTGTCGAGTGAGTTGTGAGGAATATAGAGCATTGGACAGTGCCTTCCGCCGCGTTCGGATAGCGTGAGGCAGTTGCACAACCCAGACTGTCCGCTACTACTTTTGTCGAAAAATGTGTCTCTTCGGCGGCTGTAGGTGAGACTTTAGGTGCATTTCCATTCAGCGAGATTAGACTGCCTTTTTCGCCACGAGGTATACCGCGCCTGGGAGCGAAATGACCCAGGCCGTCAAGACGCGTTGGCCAGACAGCAGTAAGCAGGGACTCTCGTCAGGATTTTGTTTCCTTGACAGCCATCCGAGGGGTGAAGCCCAACGAAACCGACACTGTAGCTCCCTTCGAACCTGAAGCTCTGCAGGTGGGCCGGGTTAGCCGCCCCTCTGTCGACTTGTGCGACTCGGATGATGCAAAACACGAAGAGGCCGCATCCCCGCAGCAAAATGCCTAGGCCAGTAGCGCAGACCAGCATCTTTTAGGGAGGTGGCTCTCGACAAATTTCCAACGGGCGTGGGGGTTACCTGGACCGTTGTTTGGTTGGGAACCAAAAAACGGCACCAAATCGAACTGATTCGAACTGTGGGACCCAAACGCCTTGTCGATTCAATGCAGGTTGTGATCTCCGGCCCGTTGCAGCAACGTTTTTGGGGCTTTTGGTGGAGATGGAGGCCTGGGCCGCCACTTGTGAATGCACTGCTCCTCGTTCCCGAAGCTTGGCCAGTTAGCTTGCAAGGTGGTGTGTGCTTAAGGGCTCAACCATGTACATCTACCGAGACGAGGCCAGGGAAACCTGTCCACTTCCTGGCAGTTTTCAGTACGATTCCGGCCGTCTGCGAGCAAGACACCAGGGTCCTGTGTCTCAAGAACGTTATGCATTTGCAGTAGCCTTTGCGCCGGCCGCTCAAGCCGAAAGGCTGCAGCCCTGATAGGCTCTGCATGTGTTTGAACGGCATAGTTTTCTCGCCTATCTCTCGTAGCCTTCCCAACTTTCCCCCGACAAACCGACCTACTCCGTGCTTGAGGAGGCTTTAGCTTTCTCCGTCATGGCTTGACATAGCCTTCGACGCATGTAGCCGAGACGCCAGGCGCGGCCCTCCAACGTAGCGAAGTAGTTTGTAATTCCAGCCTGCGCCCGGCAAGTACACGCATTGCACTTGCTGGTGTCATGCTGCTATGTGAGTCTTCAAAAGGAAGATCCTGCGGCATGCCCTCCTCGTCCGAGAAGGCTCGCATGCATCTGCAATGATGCAAACCTCAGTTCTTTCAAAAATGGTTTTGCACGGGGCCGCAAACCTCCCCGAAAGAAAGAGAAGAATGCAGCTGTCGCTGCTTGTTTGCGTGTTTTTTCGTGAGCATTATGTCAGGCGTCTCAAGAAGAGGCCCTGCGGACGGCAGAGTTTGATCTGCTGAGGCGGATCTGCCTTCAAATGTGTGCGTCGTCCATCAGTATCTGAGAACGTGAAACTCTGAAGCCGGACCCACTCTGTCGACCCTGGGTTTCATGCACATTTGCCGACGCTGCTCTGCAAGGCAGTTGCAGAAGGCTGTGCGCACAGTGATCCTGACAGCAACGGTCAGCAACAGGCCCTGCAAGATCTTGTCTGCAGCGCCAAACAATGTCTGGAAATGTTCAGGGCTCGCTCGAGCATAGCAGATAGCTGTTCCAGAACTGGCACCGCTTTAGCGACTGCCCCTGGCCAGCTGCGTCAATTGCTCGCACAGCCTCTGCTCGCAGCTCTTCAGACTGATCCGCAGGCAAGGCCGTCGCTCTGCTCTTGCAATACCCTGTGTTATCGTCATTTGGATGCTACAATGGTCGGTTCTGCTTCGGGCATGAAAGTCGAATACTTTGACTTTTGAAAGACTGCAGCGAAGGTCTTCAATGCCGTAGCCATTTTGAGTTCAGTGATGAGTTCGTCCTGCTTCGCATTGTCACTCGACATCCCAGAAGTGGACATGTCTGCCTCGACTGAAGGATTGGGGATTCCACAGGAGAGTCAGGCTGTACACGAGCTGATGGCTGTGACATTCCAAGAAGTGGCTAGGAATGGCTGCGACATAAGCAAGGCAGAATCCTGGCTTGGGTCTTTGCAATCGTATGCCAAGGCACGATCAGAGAGCAAGCAGAACACGGCTATACAGCACAATGCTGAGATCATCAAACAGCAACTCGGCAAACAGATAGAGGATCTGCGGGAGCAGAAAACACAGGAAGAGAAGCAGCTGCATGGCACCAATGGGCAGCGGCGACCGAAGCGGAAAGGCGCTGAACAGGATGACGACAAAGAAAACCGTGCTCCAAAGCAGCAGGCTCCGAAGCAGCAAGTGCATGAGCAAAAACCGGTACAGGAGGAGGTGCATGAGGAGAAACCGGCACAGGAGGAGGTGGTACAGGAGAAGGAGGAAAGCCCCAGTGGCCCGAGCGGCTTTCCGGCAGCCTCGGCGGGTCGTCGTGGAGGCAGGCGCATGCCCAGCTGCAACAAATCCGAGTCGTTCAGCATCATCCGTTCCTGCTCATGGACCCTTTGGCTACTCAACAACGTTATATATCTAAAGTCGTCACCGGCACGAGCTAAAAAAATCCGACTTTTCAAAAGGTACAGCAAGGCCTTAGTCTCAGGGTGGTGGTGGTGGGGGGTGATGTAGGGGGGGGTCTGGGTAAATGGGGGCGGGCCTCGTAAAAAAGCGCCGCCTTCCTACCGGAAAAGCGGCGTTTACAGAAAGCTGCTAGCGTTGCCAACAAACGGTGCCGTTTCGAGGACAAACTGAAGAAACTGGAGCACCACCTCAAGGTCTTCTACCGGCCTTGGACCTCCATCGGCCTGCACTCCCTCAGCCTAACAAAGCTGGACAGCGAGGCCGAGGCTCTGTTCCACAATCCTATGTGGTACATCGGGCACCTGTTGAAAGCCGTGGATGCCAACGGCATCCACTTCTACAATGTCGGAAGAACTAGATCCTCCTGCCTCGGACAACGATTCTATCAGTACCAGAAAGAGCTACTGGAGGTGGAACCACGTCTCTCCCTGGTGTCTGTTGTCATGGCGTGCATGTTTGCCTCTGAGTTCCACAGCAAGCGATTCGAACACCGAATCCACTCACTCATGCTTCGGCACAAGCCTGCCCTATTGCTAGGGGCACGCCAAAAGACAAGAGAGATCTACTACGAAGCGGCCCTGCCCTTCCTCAAGTCGCTCTTCGAAAAGTCCATGGCCATGACGAAGGAAGACTTCATCAATGAGCTCTCTTCAAAAACACTTACAACAAGTGTTTTTGGTGATGCACAGCAGGAGTATCCGGATGACAACACAACCGAGGTCGAGGAGACCGACGACTGAGTGTGTCTTGTACAGACCACAATCCGAGTGCTCCAAGTGTGCTGTCACCTCGTCAACTTCACAACGGAAGCTAGAAAGAACCGTTGCAGCTGCATTGAGCACGGGCGAGAATTCCTAGGCGCTATAGTGTTCTGAGAGCAAGCTGAGCTTCACTGTTGGCAGCAAACGCCTACACGTTCATTACAACGTTCAGGCCGTGGCCAGCGATGCCAGAGTTGAACATTTCCGCAGGAAACTGTGAGCATGTGTGACGCTTGAAATGTGCTGATGCCTACGAATGGTACCCTGTTCCTGCATCCTGAACATCGTCTTCAACACGCTGTTACACTGAACAAACTTGTATTCTGCTCTGCGAGGTTATCCTCTAGCTGGCTCGTGTGTGGAGATACGAAATTGCGTTCTGAACCGACGGGGGTTTCTCACCTGTGTCCGAACAGCCGGCAAGAGGTTCTTATAAACCCAGCTTCGCAGCGCAGTTGTCTCCTGGCGGGATGCCGGCGATTCCGCGGCGCGAACCCGGCGGTCGACGACTTCCTGTTCTTGTTGGTCGTGCCGGAGTTTACAGGTGTGAGTGCTTGCCAAATTCGTAGGTAGGCTACAGTAGAGGGGAACAGGCAATTCGGCCTTGACGATATAAAAGTTGAGTGGCAAGTTTTGCTCGTTTGGTACAATTCAGTCAGCATAATTTACAACCACAGCATCGTATGATGTCAAGATGCAACATGTCAGTGTGCTGCATGCTGGTCAGCATGGCGATCGTCTGTGAAGATGCTGCTGCCCTATCATGTTTGGAGGTTCTTTCAACAACGACCTTGACTTTGTGGCACACCTCTGTGTGAGTCATTCTGTAGCCAGCTTCGCTCGCAGCTCAGATTCAAGTTTCCGACAGAAGTTGCCACCGCTTGGCGGCTTGTGTTTCGCTGCTTCGCTTTCGGACCGCAGGCGCGCCAGCTCTTCGAGGACGAGCGGAGAGCCCGGCGCTCAGCGGTGAAATGAGCGGAACCGCAAGTCTGGGCCCCGTGCGCGGGCAAGGTGAGCCACTTCTACTGCGACTGTGCCATCATGCGGGACGAGGAGTCGAATGGGCTCCTGGCTTGTCAGGGCGAAACCATCAGTGGGATCCCCGACGAGTCCGAGTGGCTGCGAACCTGAACCCCAGGAGCTGCACTTGGCCTTCGTGTCCTCGCTCATGGCGCTAAAGTCTTGGGAAAAAAGACTAGCTCATGCCGACAGTTTGTCCTCAGCGATCCAACGAGGTTGGAGCCCGTCAATTTTCATCCGGACTCGCCATACTTGGTCGCAGCCTCTTGTCACCTAGGACCTAAAAACTGTGTCAGGACTCGTTCTCGTTCCTTCACGGATGCTTCTGCGACCTAGGCGCAGCAATGCCTTCGGGCCTCTTTGGACAATCTTCGACTCCAGCCGGTTTTGTGGCTCCAACAGGCCCTGGGGCGAGTTGGAGGGTCGGGCTCAGGCTTGCGGGTGCACACGGGTCGCCAGGGCAGTGGCAAGCTGGAAGATCACGTGCCGGCAGCTCGCCCGGACAAGGCAGGTCTGCGGCTTGGCGCATCTTGGCGCCCTTGTGCCAGTGGGTCCCGTGACAGGTGCTACCAAAGACGGACCTGGGAGCCCTCAGAAGCAAGGGCTCCTTGTCCAGCGTGTTGGCAGGCTTCTTGGCAGGCCGCAAACTTCGTGGAACGAGTGGAATGCGCAGGTCCTTGTACCGTCTGCCCTTCCAGGCAAGCGTCAGGTGGACCCGAGCCTCGAAGAAGGCGCGCGCGCGCGCCTCAGGTCTCGGCTCGCGGCCCTTTGCGTGTTTCAGGCCCGGCGAAGTTGACCGAGAAGGTCGTAGAGAAGAAAGATGACGGCAGCCGGATGCCAAGAGTCCTGAAGCGAAGCTTTTTCTGCCGCATCGGCTCTGGGCTCTGGGAACTCGAAAGGCCTGGCAGCCGAAAGTGCTGGTGCGGCAGATGCTGCACAGGCTGAAGAGCCCAAACAACACCGCAATGCTCAGGTTTCTGATAGCTGAGACCTGCTGAATAAATCGTAACAGTGGCAGGTCCTGGTATGTGGTTTGGTTGTTAGGTCGTTCTACCTAGATTCTGGCTGACCAGGTCCCAGGGAGGAGCCTTGCTTGTGCCAAGATGTGGTAGCAGGAGGGCAGAGCTAGAATCATTTGACCTCTGCGTGCTCGTTTTGCAGGCAGCTGATGGCCCTGATGAGGCGAACATGGTGCAAGACAGCACGGCTGAAAAGCTGGAGGAGGTCCTGCTGTTCGGACATTACCAATTTTCCGGAGCAAAGGCCGTACTTGAGCCTCGCAAAGTGGTGATGAACGCAGGCCGCCCTGGCCTTGAACGAGACGGAGGAGCTTCTGAGGCAGATGGAGTTCGAGGCGGCTCAGCTGCAAGACAATCGTGAACAAGTCCGAAGCATGGAAGCGCCAAAATCAAAATCCCGAAGACCTCAAAGTCCGTGCTGAATAAGTCGATGCTGTGAAGCTGTGATTGATGCTCCAGGCACAAGAGACCCGGAGCCGGCCTGACCTTGACCCAGAAGAACCCACCAAGGCTGCTGAGGGGCGGAGTGGGGACAGCCGGGGTAGGATTGCATGGCGACTACGGGTCAGGAGGTCGATGGTCTTGACTTTGATGAGCATTGCATAAATTCAAACCCAACCCCACCTTGCTCGATGCGAGTCTTTGCAGTTCTGCGCTTCCAGGCTCTGCTTTCGGAAGCCTTGACCAGCTGCTTCAACGTTTTGGACCTGGAGGACGCCTGCTTCTCCGGCATGTGGCTGGTAGATGGGGGGGTGCCAGCAAGTCTGCAGGGTATGAGCCCAGATCCATGGGTCTTTCAGCAGATTTAGTGGAACGGCGGGCAGTCGTTCTCGTAGTGGCAGTTGTTGCGGTCGTCACGGTCCTCGTCGCTCTCCCCCTCCCCCTCCTCCTCCTCCTCTTCTCCCCCTTTTTTGTCTTGTTCCTCGTGATGGTCATGATATGTCTTGGTGCAGCGAGAATCCTTCTCCAGCTCCAGGCAAGCAAGCCGTGCCTGTCAGGACATGGCAACGGAGTGTCCGGTGGATGACGAAGGCCCCTTCGATGCCCATGCTGTCGAAGGTGCGCTGTGACTGAGTTATGCTGTTATGCGGTATGCTTAAACAGAAGGGCGGCAATTACAGTTGCACCTGTAGTGGATGCCCGCTCCTTCAAGCTTACTCACGGGTCGATACTGCAGCCCGACCAAGATGCCGCCTCAGCCCAGCATTCTCATGAAGCACAGGCTCTGACATCCAGCCTGCCTGCGAAGGCGCAGGCCTACTGAAGGCCGTGATGTTGAAGCACCGGCTGCTTGTCGAATCAACTGTGATACGGTCCCGCATCCATCCAAACTCAGCAACAAGGCCGCTGCACAGAAGCCCTCGACAAGTTTTTTAGCGGAGGAGGCCTCTGAAGCCCCAAATTGCCAATCCGAAAAGGCAGAGATAGATAGCCGCGAGTTTACAATGCCAACAACAACAACAAACTTAATTCAGAAGAATGAGCAATAGCAGAGATTCGAACGCAAGCCGCTACTGCTACTGCTATTTGATGGCGCTACTTGTTGTGTGGCCTCGGGTGTTGTTCTTTCATGTCGGAGGGTGTCCAGGCCATCTAGGGCCATGTTGGTTCGGTGCTTCATGGTTTGCACGATGGGATTCCACCAGTCTTCCCAGAACCCCCAACAGGCCACTCCCCGATCCCCACGCCCTGTCTTCCGTGCCATGGAAGGGGTTCCTTCCCTCCTGTGATCTGGATCGAACACATCTGCTTTCGCAGGGACACGGTCCCGGTCGTGAGTTAGAGTCCAGATCACGATGCTGACGCAGATGCGGAGGATTATCTTGACGATGAGGATGATGATGTTGTTGTTGATGATGATGATAATAATGATGATAGTGATGGTGATGGCGATGATGATAATGATGATGGTGATGATGATGGTGATGATGATGATGACGATGATGATGATGATAAAGCGACGATGATGATGATGATGGTGATGATGATGGCGATGTCGTTCGTGATGTTGGCCAGACTGCGTACTCTCATCGTCGAATTACACGGCACGAAACTCTACGTAATGTCACAGTGGAAACGGAATGACTGCAGGAGCCCCAGCATTCTGTCCTGGGCGGCTCAGCTGCGGACCTCGGCGCCGAGCTCGCAGTGCCCTGTCGAACGGATGCGCTTTTGCATTGCTCAGGTTCCGTTTGAGCTCTGGTAGTTCTTTAAGTCACAAGCTTGTGCAGCTCTCGCATGCACGCAGATGCTGATGGTGAATTTGTCTTCCTCCTGCTGCCCGCGAGGATGCCTTTGGGCTGAATGCATCTATGCCAAGGGAGGATGTTCCGGAGGCTCTGGTTCCAACAGCCTGCATGCGACGGTGCTTCCATGCGCTGCGCTCCGATGCAGGTCGCGATTGGGTTGCGTGACCTCGTCCATGCTGGGAGCAGGGCCAGGTGGAGACACGGGAAGCTGCAGAAATTGGAGAATCAGGACGCACTTGCTGAAAGGCAGGGAGATGCACAGAGATCGTACTTGGGGAGAAGATCTGTCAGCTACCAAGATTCTGCAAAGGCGTATCAAAATTCTCTGTGCAAAGCTAACAGCTAACAGCTTTCTGCCTCGCTGCCTCGCCTGAGGTGCCCGAGATCGGATCGCCTCCCATGCAGGTCGGCGGCGGTTTTGCGGTCCTCGCAAACGCCTCCTCGACTTTATGCGACTTTGTTTCCACTCGGAGGCTTCGCCTTCCTCGAGCAGCAGGCCAGACTGCACAAGCATCTTTGGAAAAGGAGCCACGGCCTCCAACTGGCCCATTGCAGGTTACGAGCAGTCACAGCAACCCTTCCACTCGACGACCACAGCGACTTGGCTGCTCGAGTGTGTCTCTCGTCACGGCAAGCCTATGCAAGCCTAATTGAAAGACGAAAACGAGGCGCATCGGCTGGTGAGGCTGATGAGGCCGAATCACTGACCAACCCGTGCGGCTTGGGACTCGGCCCAGCCTCGAAAGGCTGACGATGCCATCGCCGCCCTGGAGGGGCTTTGGAGGGACTCGCGACAGGACACTGCCAGGAGGCTCATGAGGCTCAGCATGGCTCAGCACATCGCTCCCAGGGCCCTGCGACACTGCGACGCTTGGTGTCACCGTTACGCCAGGGCCTCCATTTCCGTGGCATCGGCCTCCAAGCTTGCCCGCAGCTCCGGCCTCGGTTGGCTCTGGGCACGCCATGGCACGCCTCCTGCCTGGCAGCTTCTGAGGTGACGCGCGGTCACGCGGAGCCAGTGACGCAAAATCGGTCCGGTGCCCCAGGGAACCCGAGCCCAACTGCCATAACCCGTGGTCCCTTCCGAACCTGAGGAGTCGGGCGCGTCGCACCCAGGCTCTTCCAGAGCAGCGCCTGAGCCTTGGTTAGGGACAGACTTCTTGCGGGATCGGAAGCGCTAAGCTACACCCTAGGGAGACAGAAGCAGAGCCCTTCCGAGCAACTTGCAAAGTGCCCCACCACATCTGTCCATCCAAATCGCCTTGTCAGGCATTTGGAGTCTCCGTTCTCGGGAGTGCGGGACTCAGCTCAAAAGTAAGTCCGACTTGTCACCTGTGTTTGTTGCACTTGCCCATCATCCGCTCCAAGTACTTGTGCATTGAATCCCTTTGAATAAGCGAGCTCCTCATCACCTGCACATTCTGGTGGATCGCTGCCAGCAGCAAGGGCGTGGGAGAAAGGACTGTGAACTGATGGGAGCTGTGCACCTGGCGGCTCCGTAAAAAGGGGCAAAACTCTGCTGCTGCTGCTGCTGCTGCTCACAACAGCAAATTATACGGGGCGGTCAGGGTGGGCTTCCAAAGGTGGGGCCAGGGCCCGTGCACTGGATTGTGGCCGGGGTGCGCCACATGGCTTGCTTAAGGACGGCTCGGGCAGTGACTCTGAGAGTTCCTCCCAGCGATCAGCCAGCACCTCAATTTCATCGCTTCGCAGAATGCTGGAGAGTAAGCTTTGGGTTGTCGGTCGTACTTCGATTGAAGGATTAGGGTTTAGACCTTTTCTCACGGGGGGTGTGTTTGGTCCGGCATTGCAGCATTCGCGCTTTGGCGTTTTTCGGTATCCGGCATTCCTGGTGTCAGCACTTCGTTTGGATTCAGGTATTGTGGCGATAGTTGTAGCGACAATAATCTGCGAGTGGCTGGGACACTGGAAGAGGTCGGACAGGGTACTTCTCCCAAGTCCGTGTCGATTTCTCGTGTTAGGATAGGCTGCTCTCCCAGTTTTGTCGTTGGAGCAGGGGTTCGAAGAGCGCAGGCACATGTGGCTGCGGGTTGGCTCGTGGAAAGTCTCATCCGGCAAAGGTGTCAACGCCATCCCTGCTCGCGTTGCAGGCCCAGCTTTTCAGGTTTCGGGAAGTTTCGGGGTTCAGCAGTTCCAGGTTTATGGTTGCTGGCGGCCACGAGGGCCCGATTGTTTGGTCACAAGTTTTCCTGCAAGCGATTGCGGCTGGGGAGATGGAAGCGGCGCCTTTCCATTGCCTTGCTTTTGACAGGGTGAGCCTTCGACACTTTTTCCATCGCACGGGGCCGCGGCCGCAGAGCGTGACAAACGTAGCACGTGTGTAGACGGTCGAACAGCTTTGGCAGTGATGACAAAAGGCATCCAAAATCACATCATATCACATCTAAGTGTCGGGTGCCGGCAGAGGTCCACTTGGAGTGGAAGTTGAAGATGCACACTCGGCTTCCGAAGGAAGTGCAGGCTGTGGCGAAGCAGCATTCGTTCGGGTCCTTGTTGTTGTGCCAGGTGTCCAGACAACGAGGTCTGTGTCCCGGGTGCAGAGGGAGACTTCCTGCTATCTCGCTCTTCCAGGGGCCCAGGCGAGAGTTCCCAGATGGCTCACTTCGATTCGACGCCTTCTCGTGTCAGATACTGCCACTACCTGGGCTACTATTTCTGCACAGACTGCCACCACGGCGATATCCGCGTCATCCCTGCTCGAGTGGCGCAGCGCTGGGACTTCGAACCCAAGAAGGCCAGTACCTCTCGCGAGACTTTGCTTGGACCTTGAGTAGCTTCATCGCAATGCTAAGTACATCCAGCCGCTTACAGACGGCCTTATCACCTCTGTAGCCAGTATGCGGCTCGCGAATCTCTCCGGGTGAGGTGTGCAGAGCCGTTGCGAAGTACCTGGACCTCCAAGTCAACCAGCCCCTCGTTCCCATCACCAGCATCCGGCAGACGAAGGCGAGTGTGCCTTCAAGCTAGCTTCTGTCCTGTTGTTGGCACTCCTCCGAGTCACCTGGCTTAACTGCTTGCAGTACAGCTTGCATGGGGAGGCTCCCTCTGCACACGTAAGAACTTCGGACAGGTGTCTTCCCAAAAGATCTTGACTGAGATCCACAATTGTCGCCCTGACCCTAGAGATGCGTGACACCACAGCATCCCTCTCCTCCGTTGGTGACGAGACGGCAGAGGGAGCACAGGAAGAATGGATTGAAACTTCAAATCTTGTCCAGGTCAGCAACTCAGCAGGATAAAGGACATTGTGGCCGAGCAGGGTTGCGAGTTCGGAGTCCAGATGCACAGTTTTGTGGCGCAGGCCTGCAAGATGCAGCGTGAGACTTGCAACTTGATCTCTCCCTCTGCACCGTGCCTGGATTCAGCTTGATGCCCACATCGCGCGCGGCCACGAGTACTACGCCATGCAGGACCGCGCAGGTTGGTTGTCCCATTCCGTCATCGGTCAGTTAACTGGACGCTCGCCCATCTTTGGTGATCATACCATCGCCCACCGACCCACCGGTGTTTCCAGGCTATCTCACCGAACGCTCAGAGCATCCGTCACAGTTCTTGCTGTGACATGTAAAAACTGGCTAGCTGCCCGCATGCATGCGTGATCGCACACCCTTGCAAATTGACCGTACGCGGGTGCCGCACAATGTACAAGACTTTCCGCCTCAGACCGAGCACTTTCACTTAGCAGCTTTCCGCGACACTGATCCCTGATTGGATTTCGAAGGACCTCATCCGCATCCACCTGGAGGGCTGGAGCTGTCCGCTCTACACGAAGGTATCCCGTTCCGGGCCCCAGCTAGCACAGCTTTCTGCAGCGCGGCACATCTGGCGTACAGGCAGAGGGGTTGGTCATGTTGTGAGCTACTAGACAGTGAGGATGCGGCATCAAAGAATCTTGAAAGCGGTTTGAGGGTTTTAAGGTAGCTCTTTGCCAGATCTGGACTAGTAATCACAACTTTCCAGCTTTCCAGGATGTGTGATTGCAGCGAAGCTTGATGCCACCCAGACGCAGCATAGGAATCAGAGTCCATGCTGAATGCTGAGGTTGCGTTGCTGTGTGCTCCGACCATATCCACTCTTGCGCCCAATGTGGTGGACCAAGTTCTTCAGGTTCTAGGCTCTGTAGAAGTTATTGCAACATGATAGCCGCAGTGACGGTGGCCAAGGGCAGTAACGGTACATGGTGGTAGGGTGGTCGTTGGCCAGGGTTGTGGGCTGAAGGCCATGAAGTGATCCTTCTTCGTCTTCTTTTCGCAGCCTTGGCTTCGGTTGCACATATCGCCCTTTTGACTCATAGTCTGGCCTCTAGCCCTGCTGCTACAGTCACTACAGCTTCAGAAAGGAGGGAGCCTGCCTCGGCCGAGGCTCTGGCTGTGCGAGGACCTGTCCCATTTGCGGTTCCGGAGCTCCGATTTACCTCTTCGAGGCGCCAAGGGTCGCGGCGTGAGCGCTTCAGCTGCCTGAAGACCTGTGCTGCATCGCATTCCACCATGCCCGGAGCTCTCAGTGTTACTGCGGTCGCCTTCTTTTGGACCGGCGTCTCCAACAGATCTAGGAATTCGTGTCATCTCTGGCAATCATCATGTGTCGTCCTCCGGCACCGCAGGTTGAGAAGCTTCACTCATGCGAGCGGCACGGACCTCGGTTGAAAGTCTTAAAAAGTTGCTCGTACCGGTCAGCAGCAGGAGGAAGAGGAGGCCCGAAATGTTCTCCGACCGCCCACGTGGCCTTTGCCACCCATCATACCCTGCGAGAGTTGCGAGTTTTAGGGAAAGGGTTTAGGGTTTCCATTCATCCATGTTGGGGCGCTCAGGGCTTGGGGTATTGTCCGAGCCAGTCACCCTTTTTTGACGGGGGCTTCAGTGGTTTTCCGGAACACTCACTCCGGTTCAGGGCTTGGGCTTGCCACCCATACTCAGCCAGTTGCCCGTTGTCGGGTGAGGGGCTTGCCAGCCATCATCTCGTACTGGAGTTGGCTTCGACTTTGGGTTTGCTAAACTACTCGCCCTTATGTGATGAGATTTGGGTTTACCGCCCAGCATGTCTATTCGGGGCTCGAGTTTTCAGAAATAAATTGTAACTTTCTGAGTCTATAGGCTTTTGCGAACTGCCCACTCTTTTGGCTTTTCGAGTCGTGGGTTTTGAACGATTCGGTTTTGCTATCCGGTCGGCCCTGCCAGGCTTTTCCAAACCACCAACCCTTCTCCCTACACTCATGCTCGTCTCGTCAAGCCACTGATAGGCCGTAGACAGCAGGTTTCCTTTTGGCTTGGTGAAGCTATCAATCTGCAAGGCACTCCTAGAAGCCTATTCCGTCGCCTGCGACGGCTTTTTCTGTCAGCCGGCGCCGTCCTGGCAGTACACGGCGAGCTTGCTGCAAGCACACGGTGAATCGCGTCGGTGGAGGGTTGGTCCGGAAGAGCACATTGATGGTAGTGTTACGCAGAGCCCTGCCAAGGTGTGGCGCGGTGTTTCATAAGACTTGCTTTCGACGGGCCTGCCCGCCTTGTTTTTCAGCTCACGCGACAGTTCCTGATGCTTTGAAGCGTTCTGGTGCTCGGAACAACTTAGTTGCTGAGGAAGGTGTTGGATCCTTCTCAAATTTTCGACTCTCAGAAGCTGTTGCAGATGTGCCAGGCAAACTCGGAGTGCCCGTTCTGTTTGGAAGCCACATCCTTTCGGAGAAAGCCTTCTGTCCCTTGGAGCAGCTTTAGAGCCGAGACTTGCGCACAGCGTGCAGATAGAAGCAGAGCCTTACATGCTTCGGGTTTCTGCTGGTATTTGTCGCAACATATCATGGAGACATCTCTCCAGCTTGCCACGATGTCACAAGCACAGGTTGCAGCAGTTCAAGCTCGATGATGCGTTGTGCAGTGCAGAGGATGTGGGAGATGCGAAGTTGCGAAGACCTTCTTTGATTCTAGAATTCTAGAACTGATGCCCATTCGGAGTCTCCCGCAGGCATCTGCAACTCTTGACCCAACCAGCAGCTGATCTGCTGTGTCGGGGTTTGTGCTTGTCACCAAGCACTGCGATAATGAAACGAAGTTTCACCAGTGGCTGCCGTGAGCAGCCTGCAGGCGGGACTCGTTTTGAGGTCTGCAAGGAAACACGCCCTTGTGTCACGTACACTACGACCGTTCAGGTGGGCAAAAGCGTCATGTTGAATTGAATTATAGCCGCCACACCCAAGATGATAGACGTGCCTGCACAGTGCTTCATTCGGCGAGCAGCAACCTGCTTCGGCTTGTCTGGCCTGCAGACCAGGAGGAGGTGTATATGTCAAGCATTCTCGAGCGGTTTGAGTGCCAGTTTGACCCCGCGTAGTCTATTCAGCCAGCAAGTTTTAAGTGCCGGCATGCAGATGAGACTGACATGTCCCATCCCGTCCAGCTCCTGCTAGCCTGGCCCGCACGAGCGTTGCCTCCGGCCCTCGTGGAGACTGAGCTCATGGAGCGGCAAGAGCAAAGAACACCCGCCTTTAAAACCCGCTGTTCTGTTGTGCACCCCAGGGCTCAGAGTGCATCTTACTTTAGATCGGGCCTGAAGGGCACCCTGCCTTTGTCAAGCCCCCCGAAACGCAAGCAATGACAGGTCATCTGGGTCCCTGCTCGGCGGAAAGCTGTGAGCCTTTCGTTTCTTACTGTCTGTTTTCACACCACCCTTAACCTCATCCTCCTCCGAACTCGGTGGATCCCCCAGCCTACCGAAAGAGAGAGATAGACAGACGACCAAAGCCCAGTGGCTTGCTCTGCTCTTCTTGCCTGTGCTGAAGATTGCTGAAGGGCATTGCGGGAGGACCAAGCAGGGTCGAGAAGAACAGTGACAAAGGTGTGGTCTAAGACGCAGGGAAAGTTTGACTCCGCAGGGGGAAGGTACGAATGGAGGATCAACAGCCAACGGCGATGCTTAGATGGCAATGGCGTTCAGATTTGGAGGGTAGCTGGCGTATCATGAGTTGTTGGAAGTAAGCAGGGTATAGCTGTCAACGTTGCATCGTGTGTCTGATTGTTGAGGCATACAGGCAAACACAGGCAATTATCCCTGGAACGTCTTGTCGGCAGGCTCAGTGGCAGGCAGAACCAGGTGCTTTCTTCGAGTCGCACGACGCCTCTTGGTTAAAGACACTTCTGCGCATTCTTCAACGCAAGCAAGCAAAGAGCGCCAGAGTTTGTGGCATCCTATAGAACGATTCTGACTGTCCCGGTCTACATCAAGTAGCAGGCTGCCCTTAAATGACGTTAATGCTGGCCTTTCATGTTTCCGATTCACTTTCAGGTCGGCGAGATGTTTGCCGTGAACGAAAATCATCACAATGGCGTGGCTTATCTCAGGCAATGTTGATTGGCAGGGTCACTACTGAACGAGTTCTTGGTGACCACCAGAAAAGCGAAGCGTTGCGGCAAGCCGTAATTCAGACTGCCCAGGCAGTAGCCTGCATTTTCGGTCCCACCTCCTGCCAACCTTCGCAGTGCAGGTGCATTCACTCTGAAACAAGTAGCAACTTGGCTACTTTTCGGGGTGGCGAGAATGAAATATGGGAAGAGGCCGGGCTTGCCGTTCCGGAATCCTGTGAGTGCTGTTGCACGATCTGACGACGGCAGCAGATCACTGGAAGAGCCACATTGAGCGCGGAAGCGGCAGATCACCATCTGTGTGCAGCTGCATTGCAGTGACTTTACTTAATCGACAACGGCTGTAGACTGGAGAGCAAAATCTTGCTGCGAAGCCCACAGCCTACGACCCTGCCTGCAACTCTTTGGCAGGTCGCAGCAACGCATCTGTGGGTAGATCTCCTATCCTCTGCTCGCAGAGAGTTCGGGGCCCGGGTACGGGGTTGGATACTCATCTGTGAAGCTGTTGGCGCTCCATCACCTCCCTGGAAAGCTGGAGTGAGGGATTTGAGGGATTCCGTGGTACATAGAGGAACGCAAAAGCTTTACATGTCTTTTTGGGCAAATGTTGGGACGTGCGTAGTGTTTCCCCCCTTCTCCGGATGATTTGTATCTGAGTCCGCTTGCGTCAGTGAATGGTGGCCCAATCTGCAACAGAGGTTGATGGACGATTCTCCGAATGCGGGCCTCGCTTCGACTGCCTGAAGTATCCAGGCGCAGCCTGTGGACAGCACGCGCAAAGATCGTAGCGTCACCTAGCCTTTGAGCATGATTGTGTACAGAGTTTACTTGAGTTCACCAATCTGGATGGGCATCAGAACATGGTCGTCGCATTTCGACTGCACCGCAGCCACCGTAGCCGTGTTGCGCAAGGACAGCAAAGTTGTCCAGGGCCACTTTGCCATGGAGTTGCCTTGCAGTCAGCGGTCCGATTTGAGTGCTGAAGCCAAGCACGCCGAGCATCCCTCCCTCCTCTTCCGTTGCAATCACCAGGAGAAGGACCTCCCGCCGTATATGTAAGAGGCATACTTTCGTTGCCACCCTCACTGCTTGCAACCCTTTGGGTTCATGATTGCATACATGCTTGCAAGCCACGTGAGCGGCTTGCGCATTTCCAACTCGTGCATCACCATGCTCTGGCAGGACGGCAAGCCTTGTGAGCAGCCGCTTGACAAAGGATGGGTTACAGCCTGCTCCCACCTGTTCTGCAATGAGAACCTGGCTAGCAGCAAGTCCTTGTTTGCTTTCGAACTCCTAGTTTCTTTAAGGGGCATCGCGCTGGTACTGTGAAGGGTGGGTCACCTTCAGGCATGCGCACAGATGGTTTGCGAGCCATGACTCCTGCCCGGTGTGCCGAGCACCCGGCTTCTGTGACACCGACTTGGCCTCCGAAGAGCGTCCATGAAGGGAAGCAACGGTCAGGGGAGGGACGGGAGGGATGCCGTGGTCTTGGAATCTGCAACCTCAGAGCCGAGACGCTGAGGCCGCACCAACCCGGTGAAGCTGGTGCGTATGGATCTGTCGACCTCTCAAAAAGTGATAGCGACGGGAGCGAAATGATGCGACTTGTACCGTTCTGGCATCTATGGCATCTCAAGGTCTCGTGCCTCCCTGCGACGCCGGGGGAAGAGCTGCCTCGTGGGCATGTCTCCGCCGGAGGCAGGGCCTCGTAGGTCCGCACGGTGCTCCAAGTGCTTCGGCCTGCCTGCTTGGAGGTACTCCGAGCCCTCGAGGTCTCGTGCGCTCCTCGGGTGTCCTTGCCCAGTCTGCTCTATTGATCACCGGAACTCTTCCGGCACTGTGATGCCAGGCTTTCCTTCTGGACAGACCAGCAGCTGCTACGCTTTCAGCAAGAAGGATGCCGGCTGTCATTCCCGAAGTTCTCATCTAGACACGTGCTTTCGGCTATTGAGTACTGTCTGCAGCAGTCGCCACCTAAATCCGTTTCGGTCATATGCGTGAAGCTCGGACATGGGCACGTTTTCGAAACCCGTGAAGCGATGCCAGCCAGCTCGTGGGATTGAGTCGGATTGAGACCTATGCCGTATGCCAATACCATGCTTATTTCCGAGTTTTCACCAACTCTGCCAACCAGCTGCAAATCTACGGTTATCACAGTGAACCTGTTATACCTCATCAGCGAAATGATCTGTATGGCCTGAAAGGACAACACCGCGCTCAGGAAGTGGGACGTCTCGCATGCATCGAGCGCACGGGCAAAGCTCGTTTGATGGAGGCTGAGGTCTGGGCAACACACCAGTCTAGCAGCAGCGGTCGGTATCCAAGCAGGAACTCATAGCAGCCGTTGTGACAGTGGTCGGTGTTAACTGGTTTAACGATGGTGCGGAAAGTAAGGAGGGTGGCGACTAAGACGGGAGGGGGGCCGGAAGGGCAGGCGGAGGTACAGGTGGAGGCGAGTAGTATGAAGGCAGTGATTGCCTTGGACGAAAGTTAATAGCATCGTTCCACCTGGAATGTCCAGCTTGTCTGCCTCTGCTTGGCTACCCGCCCCGACTACTAAGCCATTACCGTCCCCCGCTTTGCCCGTCCAAGAAGTACATGACACCCTGTCTGCAGGACCTATGCAACGAATTGGAGAAAAAGAATGATTGCATGGAGAATAAACTGGCGGAAACTCTCAGAGAGGCACAGTCCTGAGTATCGAAGCAGTATCCTTCAACTTCTTGAGGTTACAGCACGATGTGCGAGTGCAATCATCATCTTGCAGGTGTCAGAGCTCAATGATGAACTGAGCAGGATTTCGGAGACTGCGCACCAGGTGCCGCGTTGGAGAACCAATCTGTCGTCTTCATATCATCTGTCAGAGATTGTGAGAGGATCTAACCAAGCCATTCTCCTGTAATTCAGTTTGGTATGTGTCGATAGTCAGTACCGAGGCAAGCAGCAGAGTGGGACAGCATCAGCCAGAGCGAGCAGCGACTGACCAAAGCCAGAGCGAACTGGGCTTCGACAATCCGATGCCAGTCCGGCAATGCCGTTTCCGCGAGATTCAGACTGGTACATCAAGGCCACACATCAATTCGCCCGGGGGATCCCCGCCTCGACGTTTGCATATTCCCAGGCTGTTGGGCACAGCTTCCAAAAGGCAGCGCCTGGGCAAGCTTTAGGTGTGGCGAGGAAGGACCAAAGAAGGTTCAAATTACCATAGATTTGTGCGGCGAGCTGTGCTATATGCAAGCTTTGCCAACACTCCGGCAAAGTCTGGAATCTTGCCTAACGACGGCTCCAGGGCTGCAGTCGATGCAATGCTGGGCAGTCATGCAGGGCTTCTGCAAAGGCATGGAACTCTTTATCTGTGATGAAGCTGGGAGTGACCCAGATTGTTGTGCGATCTGGCTGCGACGAGTCGGTGAAATGTCATTGCTGAGCTTGTCGAGGGCGGATGTCCGATCTTGATGGAAGCCCTTTCCGCTCCTGGGCAGGCATGGTTTTGCACTTGGTCGCGCTGTGGCCTCAGGAAGTCGATTTGAGCAGGATTTGGGCGATTCAGTCGTGGTTGATGCGCAGAGTGGTTTTTGGCCAAGTGCTGCCTGAACCAGCGCTTGTAGCAGTGGGTTGACGCTCAACCTGCCGTAGACATCAAGTTTCTCGAGTTCCCGCAAAAAGATTCTCCGTGATGGAACCTGCTTTGCTTTTGTCGAGCTGAGGTTGACTGTTTGACGTTTGAAGACTTCCTTTACAATGCCACGCACGGCATAGCAGCTGCCAACAGCCGGCGGATTCGTAAGCTGAAAGCTTGCAAAGTGCCATCAACACTGGCAAGGCTGTACATCACCCCGAGATGCGATACCCTGTACATCACCCCGAGATGCGATACCCTGGTATGCGCTGTGCGACTGTACCAGCTTTGTCGAAAATTGTCTTACAACTTGCTAACTTGCCTTGTGGCCGGTGGCACCTCGCGCCCACGCTCCGTTCCCCAGCAATGTTCGACTGTCAGGCGTCTCTATCCGAGAATGCTGGCAGCTGGAAGTGTTTGCAGTGATGCGACGTTAGTTCACTCAGCATGACGGTTCATCTGTTATGCGAAGTCGTGCCATGACCACGAACTTCTGTTGCTCGTGCAACTTGTGAACTTTCGTGTCCAGGCACCCTGCCGTTTCACCATAGATTTTCTGCAAGATGATATTCTGGTGGCCATTTAGGAGTTTGTGTCTCAATCAGAGGGCTTGCGCTGTCGGCAGTCGAAAACCGAATAGGCGGACCGAGTGTGACGGCAAGCTCCATTTGCTTTCGACTGCCGGCATATCCACAAGGCTGGCTGCTAGCTAGACGCAGCTCAGCCACCCGACGTGGAGCCTGGTCAGGGACAACTGGGGAACTGAAATATCGTACTGGACGACTTCTTCTCCCCCCGTTTTGTTGTCGGTCTCCTCTCCCGGATCCAACATGTCGAAGACCGACACCTCACAATGAGGTGACTCCTGTAGGCCCTGCTCGGCGACATCACCACGACCAGGATGGCTACGCTTGAGCGGGCTTGATTGTCGTCATCGAAGTTGTCATGACTGTCACTGCTAGACTAGGGCCGGCGACGGCAGTAAGTTAGACGCCCAGATCCATTCGGTTCTCGCTGAACCGCGTCGTGTTTTTTTCAATGAGGGGCGATGTCGTTCTTGTTTTCCCTCGACGGAGCTGGGAATTTCATCACGTGGCCTACCCGTGGTGTTCACATCTTATCGGACAATGGCGAACGCTTTCTTGTGTCCTTGATGCACCAGCTCCCGGAGAGTGAAAGCTATCCCTGCACTCTCGCTCTACGCAGAAAAATGCAAAACGACGCGGCTCGGCCACTAGTGTCCTGTCTCCTTTGCATGGAGAGGCGGTGACTCAGTGGGTCTGTGTGGCAGACTGTCACTCCGAGTGCAAGCAGACACTTTCACGGAAGGAAGCACTTCCTGGATGTGCGCCGCTCTGGAAACGTAGTTTTAGCAGCCCATCTGTTTAGCCCGTACTTGCCAGTCATGCCCTTACATGTTTTCTGCATTATTCTGCGTGCTGGTGCTGAGGGTAAGCTCTTGGCTGAGGGCCAGACCCAGCGCCCCAAGTGCCGGTAGACAGGCAGCCGCGACCGAATCCTTTCCGTTACGGAGGGGTTGGAGGTCGACAATCTGACCGAAACCCGCGTTGATTTGCTTCATGGAGAAACACGTCTTTTGGCTCGGGTTTGTGGCAAATATCTGCAGCTGAACTCGATGCACAAGGTTCAGCCTCACGCATGGCTGCATCAGAGCATTTCCAGGACTTGGAACTTGGAACATTGCTTGCCAATCAAGCAGATAGTGCAGAGGCTTCATAGAAATAGCAGCTTGTGCATGAACCAAAGCGATCAGCAGGTGGTCGACCTGGCATCACTCGCCTAATGCAGCATATTGGAAGACTTGAGGCCGACATTCGCAGGTCTCAAGCACAGACAGAAACAAAGAAACGGAACCATCAGAAGCATGGTGGACTTGACGAGATCTTCTTTTGCCCTCACCTTCCTGCAATTCTTGTTGCTGTCAGTGGGTGAGGCCGGAGCACGGAATTTGTTCTGACCTCAATCGCTGCTTGATTTTGCGGAGCTGTGCGTCAAGCTGATGACGCAGGCTTCCAACAGCAGCAATCCTTACAGCGCAGTCCCAACCGCGACTCTTGCGCCTGGCATTGGACTCGATGGTGGCTTTTCTGCAAGACCGCGAGGCTACATTGTCTTCAACAGTCCATCTGTCAGCCTCCCACAGGCAGACCCGTCAACACGTTGATTACTGCCAACCTGACGACGAAGGCCGGTACATTGCTATGGACTTCAGTACTCCAAGCGTATTCAGGCAAGTTTGCACCGCTGCCAGGACGATGCCTATAACCCCTTCAATCCGTTCCATGCCCTTCCTGCTTTCGGAAAACAAGTGAAGAATGCCTTCAAGTGTCCGTTTGCGACATGCACACAGGACGAGGCCTCAGACATGTGTCCCAGCGCAAACATTCTGAAGTTTCTCCAGTCTTCTGCATCGAGCCGAGGATGTGGTCACGGAGGACACCTTTCCCTACTCTCACATTCGAGGCAACCCGTGCTCGGATTCCGTCTGGGGCTTGTGCGCGAAAGGACGGGGATGACGCAGTTGACGACAGTGATTATCGCTTGGGGCTAAGCAGTCTTGGCCTTCTGTCAGGCCTCACGCTTTGCTGCTGCTGTGGTGCAGGTTTCGATAGATCTGGACTGATTCGCTTCCAAGGCATACCTGCCTTCCTGATAATGCTCATGATATTTCTAGCGTGGGACTCAGGAATCTTGATTTCGGTTTTGGTTTCCGAGTCACCTGCGATGTCTTCTTTGACTTGGGGGATGCCGGGTCCTGTCTTCGAACTCGAGTGCTGTATGATTTCACACTTGTTCTTGTTTTGTTGGAGGAGCATGACATTATCAACAAGTTTCAGTTCACTACTTTGGGCTCAGGCGGCGCTCATCTACATTACAGACTGCCGGATGAAGGAGATGTGCGCTGCGGGCCCAGGGCATTGTCCAGCTCAACCATACCTTTGACGGATCACCTTCACTGCACACTGCAAACTGTCGCTGCGTTGGGTGCAGCTCGCATCTCGGGGCTTCGTCTTGAGTTGTATCAAGTAAGCATGGTTGCAACAAGATAGAAACGTGAAGAGATTCGCACTCAGGGCGGCAATCACTCCCTTTGCTGAGCTTCCTGTTCTCAGGAGATTTCAGGAAATCCTGTAATCATCATCGTTCTTCGCCAACAAATCTTTCGCTGAACCTGCAGCGATCTCGAGGCCAGGCGCGAGGAGGAGTCTCAAGAAGAAGAGGAGGAAGACGAGGTGCCATCTAGACCCGGTTGTTCGCCCTTCTAAACCATGCTTGACTTGAATTTCAGGACGAGGAATTCGAATTGGTGAAACCCTGAGGAGAGCAGTACGAATAGAAAATAAGCTTTTCTCTTCGTAAAATGAATTTTAAATCAAGATTTTGTCTTGGTCTGGCATTCCCTGACATTAAAAAATCTTTTGATGTCATAGAGATTAGATAACTAAATCTATTTCTCTGCAAAGATCTGTTCAAATTTGTTTATTTTCTTAGATTTCTTTGTCAATTAATAAATATATTTTGTTACTACTTCTTTCGATCTCTATCGGTAATTACAATTATAAGTTATATCTATTTGTTTGATATATTTGCTTGTATTAATATTCTATTCAAAGGGATGAAAGATTATGATATATCGGAGATTCTCTTGAAATTATATTATATTGAATTTATGTATTATAGAATATATAAAAAATATATATAATCTCTTATGAAAACAAAAATGGAAAACATATACAACACATACAACAAAAATATATTGATTTAAAGATTGATTATTTGAAATATTGTATGGTTTTTTGAAATGAATTTCATATTTCGATATATAAAAGTTATATATATATAATATAATATATGTGAATAATGGATATTATTGATTATATTTGATGAACTAATATAAATATAATAAATAATATTTCTAATAAAATATATTTTTCTCTTATAATATTTAATTAAGATTCCAAAATGAAGATTAAATATTTTAATCGATTTTGATTAAAAAT